CTTTCCCCCTTTACTTTATGAATGGAAGAATTAGATGATGGCACTTTGTGGTTGAACTGAGGGAACAACAGGCTGCTGAGACACTCGATATTAGCACTACAGTTTTGGGGTCTCCAAATTAGGATGCAAAAGAAGAATGCAGTCTCTGCCTTAGCCAAATGTAAAGGGAACATTTTTGCATATTTTTGATATGTGATCTTATCGGCAGACAGCTTTTTCTTTTCAGTAAAATAAATCCTTGTAATTCCACAGAACAGAAATCTGACAGTACAGAAAGTAATCTTTATGATGGCTAAAAGTCTTTGCACAGCACATATTGCAGCTTACGATAATTATTTATTACTGGTGTTACCATTACTGAGCCTTTAATGCACTTGTGGCCAGTGGGCAGAAAATGAGCAATCCCTGGTGACAACAGCAAGAATGCACTGTCTTCCCATGGCAAGTAACTTTGTTAAGTTCCTGTCAGGCTGTAATATTTCTCCCCTCCATGCAAGGGTATTAAAATAAAAACTTTGTATATATAAATCAGAGTAGGGTGAGTTCACTCCTGTGCCAACAGGGCGCCAAATGAATCCTGTGGATGTTAAAGCTGAGAGGGGCCTCCTAGATCATCTTGTTGTGCCTCCTTTCCCCTGGCGATTAACAGCTGCTGCTGTCACTGGAGCAGAATCCCAAACAGCACAAGGATGGGGAAGGAATGCCAGGCTCTCCCCTCCAGCTGCTCATTAGTGCATTAACATGTCCCACAGACTATTTACAACTATTTACTATTCACTATTTGTTTTTCTATACTTCTCTATTTTTTTCATGTACCTTAACTACTCACATCACCACCTCTACAGTCCCAGGGAACTTTCTCTACCTGCGTCACTGCAAGGCTAATCTTACCTCAAGAGGGACTTTTCCTGCTAAAACATGAAAAGAACTTCCTTTGTTCTGGTTTCCATCCATTACATCTTTTAAATACTCAGTAATTCCTAAGCATCTTTATAGTCACTACAGTTAAGATATTTATAGACAAGCACATCCCTCCCTTTCTGCTTCAGTATGGAGGCACAGAAGTGACAGCCATATGATAAACAGCCAAACTGTGGAACCACACGGGAGCCTTTCAGAGCCATAAAGAGGAATTATCAATCCCAAGTGCAAGCATGTGTGTACACACACAGGTGTGCAAAGGCAGAGGCAAAGAGAGCAGGGATTTGCTGCATGACTAATATTCCTCCTCCAGGAATGATTCTTCTAAGGTGCCTTCAGAGCAGTGAGATGGATCTCTCAGTATGCAGTTTTATATATTTCCACTTGATAGAAACAATCACTCTGGAGGTGAAATAAGTCATCTGAGGTGATCCCATCCACCTCTTTGCTATTAGGCACTGCAGAATAATGCCTCATGGGTTCTGCATTTAGCTGCCCAAGCCTTAAACAATGACCTGCTTGCCTGCACTAGGACCTGAGGTTTAGCCATGCTTCTTTACCTGGCTCACCCAGGACCTGCGACTGATCAGTAGGAACTTCATCCCCTTGCCTTCTAGGTCTTCTCCAGCTGCAGCACCCAAGTTATCTACCACCATTTCCCTGAGGTGGAATTCATCATCCACACATGACCTTCCTTCCTACTGGTTTAACGGTACCTGTTTTTTCCCCTAAAAGGGCTGTTGCAGATGTGATCTTTGAAAGAAATCCATCACAACAATTTGAAGCTCACAGCTGACTACACTTTCTGCTTTTCCCAAGGGTGCTCTCTCTTGGCCATATTTCTTCTCCCACCAATATCACAGCTTTTGAATAACTTTAGACCACTTACTTGGTATTACCTTTCTGCCTCCTGAAAACCAGAGTACTCATCTAACACTCCTGTGATGGATCATGTGAATGCAGGCTAGTTTTTCCCATTATGCAATCTTTTTTTTTATTGAGAGTTTGATCCATTTCCATGTATATTAAAGAGAATAACAGCTGTTGCTGCTATTGGTAGCTGCAGCTCGCATATATCCTGAAACAATTAGTGTTAATGCCGGTAGAATAAGCTTAGTAAAAGATAAACTTAGTAAAAAGTGTTGGAAAAAGAAAAAAAGTCCAGTAGGTCCAGAAGAAAAGGCTAGCTGAATCCTCAGAGTAACCAATTTAAATATTGCTAAATATAAAGCTTTATCCACTATAAAAACTTTACAGGATGGTCTCACATTGCATTTCAGTCTAGCTCAGGCCTGTCATTTTCAAAAAGGCTTCTTTTGCTGTAGTTCAAAGCTCCATAGAGGAGGTGCAGAGATGGTAGCATAGCAACCACAAGAAAGTGAGTTTAAACACTGAGAAAATGAGCTTTTAGCTTTCTAATAGCAGAGCTTTCATATTCATATCTTCTTGCTGGGTTTGAAACACCTGTTTCTATTTCAGCTGACTTTGCTTCATTCTATCAGTACAGAAAGCTGCATGGCATTACTGAACTACAATTAAATGAACCTGTTTTATGTGAATATTCTTTGGTCATGGGCAACCAGAAAACTGAATTGTGAATGGTGAGGAATTAATTTAGTTTTTAAATTACATTAGCATTTCCTTGAAACAGAAGAAGGGTGGTTTTTTGTATGAGACAGAATTGGTTCCCACAGCGGGCACAAGAATAAACCTACTTTTTCCTGCTGACTCAGGAAAAATCAATTAAATCCAAACATTCACCACTCTGATTTTAGAAATCAGTTTTGAGGTTACACATGCCCTGTCTGCACATTAATGTGAACTCCGTCAGAACAGCTGAGGGTTCAGGGTTTTGGTGACTTTTCCTGTTAACCTGAACTGAGTAGCAAACTATGACTGGTCTTGCTTTTGCATCTTTGTTTGAAAAGATCTTGGTGCCTGGAGAAGCGGATGTGAAATGCTGATTTAAATAACATCTCCAGCTGGTAACATCTGCATTGCCTGTGTAGGCACATAGCAAGAAAAGGAATGGATAATAATCAATGAATACTTTTAAACTCTAAATTTCAATCTCTGTTAGTCTTGAAGCCTTTTGCCTTCTCCACTGTATTTTTAATGAGGGTGATTTCTCCTGCTGATATATTACCTGCAGCAGACACAGAGGATCTCACAGGAGGTATAGCACACCCTCCAGCTTTGATTTATGCTGAAATGAAATGATTTCTACCCCACTGGAATCTCACTATCCTCACACTGCAGTTAATGACAAGGCATCTTTGGTCAGGGTATTTCCACCTGCTCTCCTTCCTGGGCAGTCAGCCTCACAGACACACACCAGAAGGCATCTAAACCTCCAGCAGACAAAATGAGTTTCAAATACGCCGCTGCTGATTCTGTGTGTGATCCTTGCTAACGTGGGAACGCCAGAGGCGGAAGAGCCGTGTCCAGGGGATCTGCATCCCTGTCAGTGCCACTGCGGTGCCTGTGAGAGGCAAGGGTTGGGATGAAAGGGCAGGAAATGATTGAGCAGACTGTTAATATGATGGCTCTGCTTGTGAGTGACCTGGAGGGCTTCCAGCCCCGGTGCTGTGTGAGAGGCTGAAGAGCCAACAGCTTGCTGCACTCACTCCTGCAATTTCCCCACGGCCACCTGGGCCTGAGGGTGCTCAGAGCCCCCCGGGGCGCTCATACACCCACAGCCCCTGTGCCAGCAGAGCCCCAGGACAGGTGGCTTTCTAGTGGCAGGGCCACCAGGCAGGGTGGAGAGCCTCTAGAGTGGCCTCAAACGAGCTTCCACCTCCAGGCTTGTGCAGAATGAAAATAATTCCCTACTCTTACACCCTACATGCAAGTATCAACTTCCTCTCCCACTTGTTCCATGCTCAGTTTGCACACAGGAAGTCTAAATGAGAAGTTCTTGAAGAGAACCCCACCACTGAGAAGCAACAAGCTGTTACCACTTAGAGATAAAACCTCAAAATTTAAAATTTCAGTCAACTTTGTGCATGGCTAAACTTCCAGGATGCACTTTTCAAGGTAGTTTTCCATTTCTGGCCCAAACATTAAGTTTACCTCCTCCAACAATAATTCTGTTGGCAGCATTTCGTTAGCTCTAGGAGTGGTGTTATAATTCTTCTCACCAACGTGTGCAAAGCCTCTCAAATTATGGAGCTTTACAAGGAACCTAAAATTCTTAGGCCCAGGTTACAGGGGATTATCCCAAACCCCAGAGGTTATGCAAATTGGCTGTAGTTATGCAGAGCAGAGCTCTGAAGAACATGCTAATGCCCTGACTCCACATCTCACTCCTGTCTGATGGAAAACAGATCCACTGCCATCATCAGTACTCCTATTTATGACTTCCATCAGTTTTCAATATATGCTACTGACTCATCTTCATCTTCCATAAACATTTTGCGTTGGAATGTCATTGCCAATGACTTGTTAGCAGCGAAATAACAGCAAAACAAAGAACAGCTGTGTTGGATAGTTATTGATTATTGAAAAGTGTGTTATTAAAAATGTCAAGTGTTCATGTCATTCTAGAAAGCCTCAAATAAATTTATTTGAGCTCCTTTCTAACTGGTTTTTTTTTGGGTTTAATGGATGCATTCTTATATTTACCCATACAGAGGTGTGTTGGGAAGTGTTTATTTTCCTTGCTGTGTTTATGGAAGCTGGAAATGTTTAATTATTTAAGCAGTCTTAAACAATATGTCTGTTGATAACAGACAAATATTGAAATCTAAGAAATGATTGTGGAGAAACACTCCACTGTGTGCTCCATGTTAAATAAGGATCATATAGATTGATGGATACAAATGCAATGAGGTGTCATTAACTCATTTTAAATAACCGCTGAATGAGCAAATTAATGAGATGCAAGCTCCAAAAAAGTGCAGAGAAACCCACTCTGCCAAATATCACATTAGTTAAGAGCTGAAAATTGTCATTTACAGAGCACAGACCCTTACATTAACTGTAAGTTTCCTGTAATTCTTCTCTTTCATTGAATCGACCTATTTTGGGGCCCTGCCTAGTACAGCCAGCCACAACCTGTTCTTTCCCACTCTTTCCAGATTGCTGAAGTAGCAGAGAGCAGAAAATGAAACATATGGCTCCAGAGAGAAGGCACTGGCTGTCAGCACAGACTTCCCCATAAGCAACAGGAGAGCCCCTGGGGATGCATCTGGACTCCCAGGAGGAGACCTGGCTTCAGGTACGAGACCTGGATGGAAAATTTAATTCAGAGTAAAAAAAACCCAAACAACCCAAACACACTCATACACCGAAATATTTGGAAAAAGGTGAAGTTTTTTCCTACTCCTTTTTCTGTCCCTGCTGGTTACTTTTCTTTGCTATTCTGTGAACAATTCCAAGATGCCAGCGAGGAGAAACTGTTGTAAGGCTCCCCGGATCACCTCCCTTGGGAAACAGTCAGTGAAACAAGTAGCACCATGGATTTAAGCCTCGCTGACTGAGCTTCAGGGCTGAGCACAACATTTACAGTGGGGCTTGTCATTAGTGTCACTACTGGAATAGAGATTTAATAGAAATAATTTAACCATTCTCTGTACTACCACAGCTTAGGCAGGATAACACAGGAGAGATTTCAGGCAGTAAATAAGTATAGGAGAGACATTTAGGATACGAACCTGTTTTAAAGGGGCATCAATCTTTCAGTGTTCCAGCTGCCCAAGGGGCTGAGACAGATGGAAGTCAGAGCCTTGTGCTGACAACACAACAAAACCAGAAAAGCACAAAAGGAAAAGAAAGCATGATGAGAACTTTGCCTATGCATCCCACAGGAAAGAAACACGGGATACAATCAGGAATGCAGAGGATTTCATGTACCCCAGACACAGATCTCTCTACAAACCCCATTTCCAGGACAGACAACACAAACTTGGCTTCTTTTTCTTCTGGGTGTGTTCAAGCACCCGCATTAAAGGAGGGCACATTTGCTGTGACTCAGGTGCTGAACAGAACATCATGAGCTAAAATGGGACCTTTCCCCCCTACAACCTACAATTAGGTAATCTACAAAATTAATTTCTTTCACATTTAACGAGGCTCTTTTATGTGGTTTGGCATGCATTATTACATGTATTAGTCACAGCCTGACTGAAGGGAAATGCACCATCAAATTTACTGTAACAGCAATTTTCCTTAAGGTATATCAACACAGATGAATGGGCAGACCCCTAATGCATGGCTTAAAACCATCTTTTATACAATATTGCCCTCTATGGGAGCCCCAAGATGTAACAGATCTACAACAGAAATACGGACGCTGCTGCTCTTTGGTCCTATTAAATTTTTTTGGCATAGTATCTACTTTCCTAAAACACTCCTCTTTAACATAAAAGCTTTATGCCACCAGGAGAAATCAACTTACTATCCTCTCATCATTTAATTTATTTCTTTCAAGCCTGCACTTCAAATTGTTTAACAGGTATCTCTACCACTGGTATTTACATTTAGGTGACCATTTCAATTCACAGAAGCCCTGCTGCTCTAAGTGTGTCAGCATTTCAGGCACACTTAAAACCAGCAAATGAACAAAACTGAGACCCAAAGTGCCACATCACTTTGTAGGCAAACAGCATTTGGAATATTATTTCTCAAGTGCCCCAAAGTCTTCTGAGAGCAAAGATGCCACTCCAAAATATCACGGCAGATATTTTGAAATGTAACCTGCTGAACATTAGGAAAGCAGGAAAGTAGGAATGAGCAGGATAAAGAGGTACAATGGTTAAGTACCAAGTTCTTATTCACTTGGAGTGAATTATTCCATCCATGCTTTTCTTTCCTCATTTTAATTAAGTCACCTTTGTTTTCTTTCCATGAGAAAAATACATTGTAAAAAAACCCCTCACTCAAAAGATGATTGGAGAGCAATCATCACTGGGCATTGTTCACCTGGAACTGCACTGCATATTCCAAACAAAAACCCAACCATTCCTTCTGCTACCATCCTGATATTTTAATATTAGTGCTGAAGGTCTGTAAGCAATTCCTACCTCAAGAAAAGGGAATCAATAATAGTTAGACATTAAAAGCATTGCTTTAGCTTATTAACTCTGCTCCAGCAGATGTTGTAGAGAGATTGCACATCTCTAAAGAAGCCCAGTGCAAAGTAAATGTAACATCATGATCTTGATTTCCCTGTCAGACTACAGCATTTTCAAGTCTTTAGCCTCCCTTTTGCTGAACCCAGGTCTGTGTGGGTTATTTTTAATTTTATTTTGAAGCACAGCCTAGTCACATCAGTCTAAAAATAGACCTTAGGGCATACTTCCACTTCCCATTTCAGGATTTCCCACCCTACTGGAGCATCAGCATGAAGCCTCCTCCTAAAGCACCGGATAAAGCGGGAAACAAATTATAATAGGGCAACCTAAAATTTCTTTTAAAAACTTGCTAGGAGGTTGAAACAAAACACTGTACAACAGGATGAATTCATTACAGTAATTCCAGAACACCGGTTTGGTGGCGCGTTAGTAACCGATTTTTCACTTGGAGGGTTCCTTAAGTTTTAAATGATGGTATATAAAAAGCTCTGCTTGTGCAAGCTAACCTAGAAAAAAAGTCATCCTTAGAATGCAATGGAAGCTTGAGATCTAGATGGCAAGGACAGAAGAGCAAAAAGAGAAAGAGAAATGTTCTTTGTAGTTCCTCCTTTGAAACTACCATTCCTGGTTTCACCTTTTATTCAGAAGTGGATTAGAGTATTAAAAGAGTCTCTGTAGACATGTTAAAGGGGACTCCCACTGGAGCTCTGGTCTAATTAAGCTGCTTTATGAATCATTCCAGTTTGACTAACTCAAAATGTCTTTTAAAAAAATATCACTTAATACATCAAACCGAGAGTTCAGGCCCCTTTGTTTTCAATAATCAAAGAAGAAACGCTTGGGTTTGAGATTTGTAAGCTATCACTGCACTTTATGGATGATCCTCTTTATGATAATTGCTTTGCCAGCAGCTGACCTGCACTGCTCTTTAGGAGAAGCCCCCTTTCCCCTGCCCATCTCAGCAGCCCTGCTACAGCTCAGACACGCAGCTGAGGTGACAGCAGAACGCTGGTGTTACCCAGAGACAACAGTCCCAGCCCATGGAAACCATCAGTCAGCATTTTGGTGCTGGCTTGGCTGGAGCCCATCAGGAGCTGGGGAATGTTTCTGCTAGAGCTGATGCAGGGAACAGCAGAGCACTGCCCAGCCCTGTAAGGAGCCCCTTGCTGTAAAGGAGTGCTGCACAAAGCGTGTTCCCCTTCTGATCACTCCCTCGGCCAGCCTGAACTCGGGCTGGCAGCAGATGCACAACGGGGTGACAACACTTCTGTCTGCAGCACTGGGGACCAGAGAAACCCTGTGATGGTCTCTGATGGAACACAACCCTTCTGAGTCACACAGCAAAGGATTCTCTATGTTCACGCAAAAAAGGGAAAATGGGGGCACAACCCAAGTTCCTGGATTAGTGTTTGTGACAATCTGCAATGCAGGAGGGGCAGCAGCCAGCTTTTCTGGCTGAGGCAGTTGGATGAATGGGACTTGGACCTGCTTTTGGTCTTGTTTGTGCAAGGATTTACAAAACTCGACTGACTTCTTATCAGCAGGGAAGTCACAAAAAGAGTCATGATGGAAACAGACCAAAGGGGATGCAGCTCTTACACAGTGTTACAGGTGCCAACAACAAATGACAAGAGGGCTGAGCAGAGCTGAAATCTGCTTACTGCTTCAGTCTCTTCTATGACATTGAAGCAAGGCCTAGGAAAAACCTCTTCTCTCTCTAAGCTCCACTCCTACCCCTTTGGACTTCCCAGGAGGTGTCTGCTACTTCAGGCCAAAGCAAAACCTGGGAAGGATTCTGTTAGGAGAACTGTGGGACAGAGCCCAAAAAGCTTTATGGATACACAAAGACATCATCCATCGCTCTCACACATCACGAGCCCTTGTCTCGGTGTCACACGGGAAGTGGTGACAAAGATCAGGCTGTGGATTAAGCACCAACTCATTTTTTGCTTTGATGCTATCTCAATAAGAGTACTCAAAACCCCACAGTTTATATTTTCATAGCTGAGTAAGCACCTAAGACATAAAACAGTAATGTAATTAGAGATATGTGGAGCAGCTCTAATGATAGATGTAAATGAATGTATGTTGCTTTAACAGATGTTTCCACATTAGTTTCTATCAGCACACTCTCTGAAACTAATACATCCAGAGCCATAAAGGAACAAAGCCACACTAGGATACCAAAGGTATCCTACAGAGGAATAAAAGTATAAGATAAAGGTCATTACAGAACTGGTGTGCACTGATTTGCCTTTATCATCAGTACAAGTGTGTCCAGACATAAAGAGGGGAAAACAGAAGCTGGAGAAGACACTGTATAGCTGGACCAAGTCAGCAGTCAGGGAACCTAGCTGGGTTTTTTTACTTTTTTTAATTTTACTGGAGGACTGAGCAGCATTTTTGCTGTTGATGTTGTTGCAAATCAGCACTTCATGCTGCAGCAGACCACTAGCAGCACGTTCTCCCCTGATATCTGGGAAATAAGAATAACCCAGGACAAGGCAGGCACTGCCAGTAGAAGACATGAGCGCCTTAGCCGAGTTCTAATGCATGAAACTCAGCTCCAAGTGTATCCATATTTTATCCCTACATTTCTGATTCTGGAAAACCTCTAACACATTTTGAGCCAGAGCCAAAAGATTCAGATGAAAAACTCTAACAACTTCTTGAGACATCAAGAAAACAAACTAGACTTTTCTTAATGAAATATACAAACACTCAAAGAAACCCAAACCACATTCTGGTACGCCTTTATGTTTCTCGCACTCGTGATGCGAGTCTAATTCAGTTCTGCATATCTCAAGTTGCTGCTGGAGAATTAAGACTAATCTATAACTCTTCTAAGTTGTCATAGTTCCTCTGAAATCAATGGATGTTTTGACAACTTACACCATCTGAGGAACTGCTCTGTGTGTCGAGTAAGACACAGTGCAGTTTAATTACAGGGAGGTTCAGAAGCAGTCTCCACAGCTCAAGAAAAAACCGGTTCTTCCAGGAATAGTCATTTTTTGTTTCTATCCAACTCATTATGAACTTCAGTGTCAAAAGCCATCTTTCCTTCAGTGAGGACCATCAGTGTCTCTTAAGCTGAAAGAAAAGGTTCTATCTATTGCAGTAAAGTTTGAAACACGCCCTTGGTGCTGCGAGAAGAAGTAAGGAGCCCCTGTTCCAGTGTCATCAGAGCACTGAGATAACAGTGGGGAGACTGGGAGCAGCCAGACCACAGAAACTCAACACAGGAGCAGCAGGACATGGATCCAGATATTCCAGTGAAAGTTTTCAGACAGTCTGGAAGAGCAAGCCAGGGGGATACTGTGTGTTTACACACAAACTTCTGAGAGGATTTACTTGCTCTGCCTCATATTCAGACACATGATTTGCTGGTAGGCTTGGCAGTGCTGGATTAATAGCTGGACTCCATAATCTCAAAGGTCTATTCCAAACTAAATGGCTTATAGGATTCTATGTTTCTAACCACAGAACTGCAGGAATTGTGCTTTCCACATTTGGGGATGCAAAGAGGAAAACCTTAGAAATGTTCACAGACATTGTAGTGATAGGTGTGTAAGCTGCAAGATTTGGACAGAGCACAGCAGCACTTACTTACACCAAACCAACAAAGCACAACAACAAACAACCACCTAAAAAAAAACCCTGCAAAACCCAACCACCATCAAAGCCACAGTTCCAAATCCAGAGACATATGTTTTTCAGAAAGTTTGGGGCTAAGTAATGATAGGTTTTATCTACAAGCTTTGCACTACCAAAATCAGTAGAATGAACTGTTGTGATTGCCTGCCCATACAGGGAGGAAATAGACCACATGAGGATTAACAGGTACAGAATAATGTACACCACCTAATGCAAAATCTGTGCCACAGGTTAAGAGCCAGAAAAACATATATCCTGCGGCAAGGATCTCAGCATAAGTGTGCTGCCTCATTAATACAGTATTTTATGACTAGAATTTATCTTGTTTTCTTGTCTCTTTCCATCCACACTTAATTTCTGTTTCTTGCTGCCCTGTTTCCTTTCTTGTCTATTTTTCCCTCGAGCAGAGCTTGAGAATTATATCATGATCAGGAGGACATTCCAGGTAACTCGAGTGCACTTGTGACCGAGCTGGAAGAGTTCAATTCTCTCTACTACCCCAAGGAGAGGGAAGGGAAAAATTCAAACTGTACTCTTTTCTCCCGAGGGTTGGTGCACTCTGTTAGACAGAGTTGGAGCAATTCTGCCAACAGATTCCCAGGAATCTGTTGGCAGATTCTCAGGGAAACTCAGGAGGGCAGACCCTGGCACAGTAATTCCCCCGCTCCTGCACTTAGAATGAACCACCAGCAGAGCAAACAGCTCCGGAGGCAGCGTGAATCCACAGCCCTGCTCCTTTATGTAGAATGCACCCAGCACTGCAGGGCTCAAGCCAAGGATTTCAGTTCAAAGAGTCACTTTAGCATCTGAATTTAACACACTCTCAACAGTTTGTGCAACCACTTGGCCGCTGGCCCGCCCAGGAACATCTGCGGCAGTGGCTTCCAAGGGGCAGAGCTGCTCCCACCACATCTGGAGCAGCACAGCTGTCCAGCAGCCAAACCCTCCCGCTCACAGGCGCCTCTCCAGTGCTCCAAGTGCAGCCAGAAGCCAAGGAGAGCAATACAAAGAGCAACAAACAACCAGACTTTTTCTTTTCACACCATCAGATGAGCAAAAGGAAGCTCTGCCAGGTTTTGGACCAACAGCACCAGAAGATTTCCTTGTGTTGGGGAGAGACTCTCTAACTCAATTTGGCTATTTTAGTTTACAGCCTGCCTGAAGCTCTGACATGAACACAGGATGAAAGGAGGCACCTGCTCACCACCCCATTGTAGTGGGATCCCCACGCCCAACACTCAGAACTAATCCTAAATCCAGAGCCAGGCCATAGGTACAAGGCATTTTTAGAAGGTCTCCCAGCAAGTGCTTTGTAATTGGAAATTGCAGGAAATTACTCAGACATAGTTTGCATTTTAATTTTCACCCGGTTTCTAATTTAGCCAGAAGGAATCAATTAGTCCCCAGTTTGGAATCTCTGCCATCTTTGAAACTTGGATATTCACGGAGAGCGAACAGCTCTTCATGGAGAAGGTCCCAGCTGAAGGATGTAAACAGTGGACAGCACGGAACACCATTTATTTACACTGTTTTGGAAACACGAAAGGTTGAGCTGACCCTCCTATGATTCAAATCTGAGTTTACAGCGTCATTCATCATCTCAGAATGGGTTTGTTCCAGTCTCCTTGAACAAAACTATTTTCTCCTCACATTTGCTGCACAGAATTGGCTGAATTTCAATTCCAAAGTGTATTGTACAAAGAACCTTTTTGGAGTGAAAGATGTCAAGCTGGCAAAATTGAAAATTAGATTGGAATAAAATCTAATTCTTTTAATATAGAAACTGTTTAGTTTTGCCTCTGTAATATAATTTGAAGTCACATAGCAATCATGTTTCTTGGCTGTGGAGGTAGGTTTCTTCTCTAGCTGGATGAAATAAAGAATTTTAATGAGAAATTATGCAACAAATAGGTGGAACTTGTGTCACACACAGTAGGAAGATACTTTTCACCTCTTGAGCACCGAATATTTGCTGGTGTCAGGGAGATCATTTGTAACAAACTTGCTGGGTGACCCCTGCTTGATTTTGGTCATGCACTAAACCCCACCTTTTATTGTAGCAGGTGATCTTGTCAGTGACCTGACAAGAGTAGGAACCAAAAAGTCTTCCAGCGCTGGGATTTCATTAAGCCTCTTTTTAGCATCTGGAGACGGTGAGGGGTGATGGGGGGGCACTGGGGGCACAGGCATCCTCCTGTCAGAAAATTCATTCTTTCAACTTTTCCTTTCTCCTAGGCTTCCCGCTGCAGCCTGCAGGTGTAAAACCGAGAGCTGGAAGCGGCACTTCCCTCCCGCATTTTGGGGCGGGCAGGAGGGGAGGTGGTCCAGCCGCACAATGACAGATTATGCAAATCCTGGCGGAGCACGGCATCAATCAGGGCGGTGGGAGAGGAACGCAGCTCATCTCCGAATTCGCCTCCGCCGTGGCGTCCTCGCCAAGCATCCCCCCCCCCC